CGTTCCAACCGAACCGGTTGGAACGGGATTAGCAGCCCACCCCTGTTTAGGAGGAACACATAGATCTGACTGACTTTGCTGATATTATGCAGCAATTCTGAAGATGCTTATGTGTGTAAATATCAGTGGTTTTTATTCTGTGTTCTTTGTCCCCTTCTCTGCAAGGACCCAAGAAGATAAAGATATATTTCATGGGAACATTGTGGCCCCTATTAAATAAGGGACAAGGGTTGTGACACTAATGTTTTTGTCTTAGCCTTATATGCTGCCCTTCGCTTGGAGTTAATGGAATTTTTATTTGAGCCATAAATTTGAGCTCAGAAGGCTCATGTAATGTGTGTGTGTGTGTGTGTGTGAGAGAGAGAGAGAGAGAGAGAGAGAAAAGATTTCTCATGATCTTCTCAGGCAGAATGGTATCCCAATATGAATAAATTCAAGGGATTATAGCAAATGAAGAAGAGGGGAGGAAGAAAATCACTTCTAAAGTTGATTATGATCAAAACTGAGAATGAGTTGTTATGAGGGAGTAATGTATTTTCTGATCAAGCTTTGTGGATTGTTTCCCTGGTAAACAAGATGGTGCAGACAGCAGTTTTCATCCAAAAAACCATGGTAGTTATATCTAGAGACTCATCCCTTTGGAAGGGCCTTGTAATTTACCATCATTGCATTGATGATAAGGCTTCCTACCCCTGGGAATGTTAGAGTGTAAATTTAGACTTAGGAGAAGAAAGAGAAGAAAGGGAAAGAAGAGGAAACAGTTGGCTCATCTGACTTTTTGGGGTTCTTGGAACTTGGTTGTTTTCTTGCAGACTTTTCATTACCCAACTAGGTATATCAGGTTCTGAGGACTTTTAATACATTTTTCCCCTATTCATTAACCATCTAATTTCTCTTACATAACTGCCTCCCACACTTCCTGCCCCAGCATTAGGTAAAGGTAAAGGTTACTCTGGAATATATGTGCTAATCGTTCCCGACTCTAGGGGGTGGTGCTCATCTCCATTCCAAAGCCGAAGAGCCAGCACTGGTCATGTGGCTGGCATGACTAAATGCCAAAGGTGCATGGAATGCTGTTACATTCCCACCAAGTGGTCCCTATTTTTCTACTAGGCATTTTTACATGCTTTCGAACTGCTAGGTTGGAAGAAGCTGGGACAAGTAACAGGAGCTCACTCCATTATCTGGTGCTAGGGATTCGAACTGCCGAACTGCCAATCTTTCTGATCAACAAGCTCAGTGTCTTAGCCACTGAGCCACCACGTCCCTTTGCCCCAGCATTAGAAATACACAAAAAAAGAAATAGGGCAAAAGAGAGAGATACTAGTAATTTATTTTTGCTAAATGGAACTGGAGTTCCTTCTAGGTACAGGCATGGTGAAAGCAGAGATCATACACGCATTAGGTGACTGAGCCAACAAAACACTGACTGGCCAGAAAGGGCAAGCACTGTCTGATTGACAATTCTCTAGACTTGCAAATGCCTTAATGTGGTTTTATTTGACAATGGTCTTGATTTTTTGATGTCTGAATAGATATGCAAATAGTCAATATTTCCAAGATCAATCCTGGGTGAATATTTAATTGGATTGAGAAGGCTAAGAAAATGGAAAGTCTGATTGTTTTGAAGAGACCAGGAAAAATTAGCTAGAAATACAACAATCCAAAACTGGTGCTTGACGTCACTAGAGTGTCCCTGATAGGGATAACTTATGCCACACCCCTCACCCCTGACTCTGTTTTGTGATAAACTGTTCAGAATTGTGTGAATCAAAAGATGGTGACCCTCATTGTTTGTTCAGCTAAGTCTGTGTGTATTTTTCCATGTTGCTATTTAAATTCAGAGCTTCTGTTTTGGAAGATGAAACAGTTTTCTTTTGCTAATGGGTCTTAAATTGCTGCCAAAAATGATATATTAAAAGGAAAAGAATAGTCTGCTTCCTGTACAGCCTTTACCTCTCTGATCCTTGCTGCATTTATAAAGAATTAGAAACATCTAAGTTTTTTTTTAAAATACTATTTGTGATCTGGTCAAAATAGACGATATTAGAGTTGAGATCAGTGGGTCACACCTTCCCAAATAGCAATGAAGTCACATCCATTCCTCCAATAGTTTTCTGATAAACTAATGAGCATGTGTCAAAACTTCCATAGTGCACTCAAAGGTCATGAATTTAAGTTGAAGAATTCTTGCCTAGTAGACTGAGTGCAACAGTGATGTCTAGTTCTACTGATGTCTAGAAATTTCTTTCTATTAATTTACATTAGGCCTGAGATGTCAATGCCAATCTTGCTTGGGTCAGGATCTGTCTGTCTAGCATCAGTGAATAAGTAGTAATATAAAAACACTATGTGGTTTAGAAAAAGTTCAGAATTCCACTTGGAGCATAATATCTGGATTCAATCACAACATAATTAAGACTATTGACCTTTAATTTCAGGATTATTAACACATTTCTATTGTAAAATATGTTACTTCCTGGTTGTTACAGAAAAGTTGAATATGCCATTATAAGCATGTGAAACTTTGTGAACGTAACTACTATATTCCTGTAAAACAAGGCCAGGCTCAGAGATTACAGCATTTTTTGAAGTATAAGATGCACTGAAGTATAAGACACCCCAAGGTTTTGAAGAGGCCAATTTAAAAAAAAGATTTTTGCACTCTGCAAACCTCCCCAAAACAGCCCTTTTTTTCAAAAAAAAAAAGAGGGCATGAATAGCCCTTAGGTGGCTTGTAGAGTGTTCCTGGTGGAGGGGGGACAAAAACGAGCAAAAATAGGCCCTTTTTTGTCAAAAAAGGGCATTAGGAAGCTTACAGAGTGCTCCTGGGGCCGGGGGGGGGAGGAAATTGAGCAAAAAATTCCCCATTTTTTTGCTCATTTCTGCCCTTCCCAGTCCCCAGGAGCTTTCTGAAAGCTTCCTACAAGCTATGCTCAGTTGGTGAAGGGAGCGGGGTTTCAGGAGGCAAAAAAATGCTGTGTTCAGTGTATGATGCACCCAGATTTTCAGCCTCTTTTCTGAGGGAAAAAGGTGTGTCTTATACTCCGAAAAATACGGTATTTCTGGATTGTTGGCGGTCTGACCTTTATACTTTTTCTTCCCTTCTTTTGAGAACAGCAGATTCATGATGGCAGTCCCTTGAATGTGAAACACCAGCTCCTGAAAGTGGTGCAGCACATATTCCAGTACCATGTGCTACTCACAGGTGAACAAAACAAAAGCATTTCATCTTTATAATCAAGAAGCCTTTGTTTCCCTGTTTAGGCTATATCAACTGCAAATTTAGCCATTGCAATTTGTCCTCAATTCACATTTTTTTCGATGAAATGTGGTTTGCGAAGAAACCACATTGTCAGGTAGTGCTTTTCAGGCATTGACAATTCTGTTACTGTATTTTCTGCAATCAAGTTTAGAGTGATTTACCATAAGTTTGTATCTATTGTGAGCTCGTGTGTTGTTGCGGTTGAAGCTGAAGTATTCATTGACAGGTAGGACATTGTAGCATATCATTGTATGTACTATGCTTAAGTCGGATCGGAGATGAAGTTCTCAGTTGTCTAAGCCCAAAATTTCAAGCCTGGTGTCATAAGGTATTCTATTGTGAGCAGAGGAGTAGAGGACTCTTCTCATGAAATATCTCTGGATTCGTTCAATTCTATTAATGTCTGATATGCAGCGTGGGTTCCAGACAGATGAGCTGTATTCAAGAATTGGTCTAGCAAAAGTTTTGTATGCCCTAGTTTGCAGTTCAATATTACCAGAGAAGAACCGACACAAGATTAGGTTTACAACTCTTAATGCCTTTTTGGGCAATGCTGTTAAATCTGATGATTAAAATGCTGATGATTAAAATGCTGATGATTAAAATGCTGATGATTAAAATGCTGATGATTAAAATTGTGAAGACTGTTAGCCAATGTCTACTTAAACAAGGGCATACAAAACTTTTGCTAGACCAATTCTTGAATACAGCTCATCTGTCTGGAACCCACGCTGCATATCAGACATTAATAGAATTGAACGAATCCAGAGATATT